TTTAGAAAAGAAAGGCATGCTATTTAAAAAGAGTTTGTTCTTATTTTTTTGTGGAAAAATGTTGAGGAAGGAAAGAAAAAGGGTTGGTTTGGTTTTGGTGAGCGACTTTATGTCGTCGCCAGCCAAGGGTTTGGCCACTTTTGGACATGAACGGCAAAAAGCTATCTATCTCCGGCTGATAATGTGAGGTTGTCTAAATCTAAAACTCAAGCAAGGTGGTGGTGGAAAAAGTGGAAGGAAATCGGTTCTGTGTGATACATTGTTATTGCTCGTAGAGTTTTTTTTCGAAATTGTTGTAATGTGGTATCTGGGAACAAGGAATTTGGGTACTTTGTTTGAATAATGGGTGTAATCTCGGGGGTATTGCGTAAGCCGGTCGGTCGTGTCTTATTGGACCGGACTGGACCTTCTGACAGGGGCGTTATGTTATGCTACGTCTCTCCCCCTCGTACCTTGGCCATTATTATGTAAGCCAGGCAAAGATAAATGCATATCCATCTCGCCAAGCAAAGTTTAATTATCAAACCAGGAAATTGCGCTGAGATTAATCAGATGTAAAGAATGTTTTAAACTATTGAACTTGCAAACTCATTCATTATTATGTTACGTTCAGTGGCCGCGGAAGGTGTGGGGACATTAACATTGCAGGATAGGGGATGGAGGGGTTTATATAACATGGGGAGATGATGGGGACATCGAATAACCGTGAGGACATTGTCCCTCTGTCCCCACCCTTCCGCGGCCACTGGTTACACTACTTTGATTTATTTTTCACAGCTTACTTACATATTTATTTGCACCGGTATGCATATCCCCACACATCAATCACACATCATTCCTCCAACAACAAAAAAGAATCATCTGCAAATGACGAATTGATTTGAAATCTTATCTGATTCGTATTTTCAGCACATCCTCTCACTCGCTACACGAAACCACAAGCGAAGAACTAACCGCATGTACAAACAAATAAAATAACTGGACTTTTGTGTTGTTTGGTCTTCTTCTTTGCTTGCTCCAACTCACGTAATACGAGCGAACGAGCGAGGAAGTGAGCAACATACATAACGAGCAAAAACTAATTCCTACCAATCCTCAAGAAGAGTAAGTTGTTGAGATGTAAAATATAAAATAATAAAACTTTGACTTAATCTCTTTATTCAATTCTTGTCGATGCTGCACATCGAGTTTTTCTAATGTTTGATCTAGTGCCCTTAATGACAGTTTAACGTCGTCAAATAACTTAGGTAAATTACACTGAAATATTTGTACCGTTTGTTTATCGAGTAGATTTGTGATATAGAAACTTGACCCTTGATGATGATCATCATCATGACGCATCTTATCCTGATAGGCATACTTTTTGGAATTTTACTGTTAAACGCACCATTTCACCTCGTGGTCGTGTGCTTTAAATGTCTAATCTTTATTTCTATGTAGTAAAACAAAAACCTGGGTAAATTCAATCAAAGTCAAGGTTGAGTGAGACAGGTGGTGTTAAAAACATTGTACATACTTACTCGCTTATCAGTGATTAAGTGGAAAAAGATGTTAATGACATGATTGACATTCTCTTTATGGGAGGAAGAGTGTATAGGTCGGTGGTAATCAGACGTGTGCATTTTTTGCTAAATTATCTAGGTCTGGGTTTGCAAAATTTGGTAATAATGATGACGATAATGACGTTTTCTTAATCTTGACTGAGTAAGTAAAGTGTGATAGAGAAGAGAGAGTACATATTGTATCTCACACCACCATCACCTACTTTAAAACACAGAACAACGAAAGCTTCTAAAAAAGATATGGACATGCTAATTTATTCTCTTAGCAGTTCATGTCACTCAACAAATAAGAAATTGAAATAATTAAATCTTGCCAGAGTTGCATAGCAGGTACACAAAAATCTTTTCGCATTTCAACATCATCATCATCCCCATCACGAGAGAGGTAAATAAGACATTCACGTAATTACTTTATAAAATCCTGGTTCGCTTTGTTTTATTTATTTGCATGGGATGGCATTTATTTGGCATCTCATGGGTTTGCATTCCTTCCAAAGGCAATTAAAGACCGGACGGTGACAGCCAGAACTGGTGAATTAGCTTGACATTTAGAGACATTTAAGCGAATAAAGTTATTAACAAAATCCAAACCAAAGCCATACTTGAATTAATCACGAAACAACCAGAAAATACAAGGGATGAGACAAGTTTAACGCAATATTTCAGTGGTTGTTGCTTTTTGCTTTCATGTTTGAAAAGCCAGATGCACTCTGCAACACAAATGTTGAACACCAACCAAAGAAGGCGAGACAAATAAAATTCAACCAAAGTCCACTATGCAGAAAGGGTGAAATTGGTAGTTTACTTGGTTTTGTCGGAAAGCTTCAATGGACAAGTTGAGTTGACACGGACAATGGGAGAATGACGGTAATTTGTAACTTTGTAATTTGTATTTGCTCCATTGTCAAATGTCAAATCCCAACCTGCTCTCTACCTGTCGTGGATTTAGTGAGATGCGAAAGATGCTCTGGGAGAGGAGATCATAAATACTTTGATTTAGAATTTGATAGAGTTTCACTCCGGTAAAGTTTTTAATTCGATTTCAATATTTCAGATTATTGTTCAGATCAATATAAGATCGGATATTGGGGTAAAACAATTCGCATTTTTATCTGCAAAAGTGTATGCATGTTCCACACCCCAATGTCATTGTCAAGGCATTGTCGCACTTGACTTATAGAGAGTGAGTTTGCCATTTTACTTGCACTGACTGAAGGAGACGACCTGCTACTGCTGCTACTCTGGTCTGGTTATGGACGCTGTCTTGTTTGTAAAATAAATGGATGCCATGTAGCAAAGACCGGACCGGACTATTGCATCGTCAGCTAGTTTCTGCTGTCATGTGATAAATACACTTTAAGTAAAAGAGACATTCACTGCAAAATCTTGGTTGCGTTGCATTACTTACTTCTTCAAACAAGTTTTAGTCTTGTTGCTCGGCCAGGATTTTTTTAAGGAAATTTTCAAACCCACGGCTACTTGATAAATATTATTCAGACTTGTGTTCCAATAATTGTCAGAAGAAGTTGTCTTGTATTTTCCCTTTTTATTAAGTCCCCAGTTTTTTGGAATAAGTTCAAACAAAAGTGCGGACACGATGAAATAAAAATGAAGGCGTAATGAAATGAAATTACTTTTTCTTCAGTCAGTGAATCAAAGAAGAATTTACTGTGACAAAAATCATCCCAATGTAAGTAAAACAAGAGGTTATCTTGATTACTTACACGAGGAAAATAAATATTTCTTCGTGTTTTCAGCAAATGAAGGGAAAAAATGTGTATACAAAAAACTAAATGAGACATCAAACAAACGAGGGAATTTGTTTATGAATCTGTAATCAGCGCAGCCATTCATTTCGCCATACTAATTTAATTTGATGACTTATTCCAAGTTAAAAAAATTGTGCCCGGGTTAAATGATGCTTATTAAATTGCGTTCATCCTCATTCGTGTCGTGTAGTCTTCTTCCAAACAGTAAAGCATTCAATGTAGTCTCATATTTAAGCCGAAATTAGTATACGATTCTTCTCCAATTGTATGCCTGCCCTGTAAAAAACGTACGTAACTAACATATCTTTCTCCCTCTTGGCTTGTTTATTTATTTTATGACAATCCATTATGTTGACAAATTTCCCAATTTTTCCTCACCATAAATAAAAAGGAGAAAAAAAGTAGGGGAAAAGATTTTTGCCGGATGTGTGTGTGTGGCTCTGACTTTTTACTTTTACTTAACACTTTCTCCAACAAAAAAGCCAGTAATTTATGTGCCAAGAGAGAGAATTTAGATTCGCCGAGTCAGAAGACGAGTAGTGTAAAATGGAATTGGAATAAAGAGATTTGTAAGCGGACCGGCTAGGCATAATGTGAACCGAAATGTTCCACAATAATAATAAAATCATATCCTTACTGTTGCTCTAGTGGAAGAAAGGGAGCAAAGAAAGGCCAAAAAGTGACAAGGTTTGCAGTGTCTCAAACAAGGTCCACCAGACCAAATTGCTGCTACGTGCGGTATATGCAAGTGGACGTCTGAATCCTTGAAACGACACGACTTTGTCACAGGAAATTTCCATTTTTGGACTGTGCAAAATTCAACTCGAGAGGTCGGGAGGAAGCAAAAAAGAAGTTGGGCATAGTGCAGGGACAGATAAATGTGGGAGAAAAAATTCGAGGTTTTTGCGGCAAGTAGCAAATCTTACTTGACATTCAAGTTTTTTTGTATGTGTCAGAAGAAATTTCTTTTAAATATGGTGTCCTTATTTTGTTGAGCATTAAAAATTGAAAAGAAAGTAACTTTCCAAACTACGATTCGATCTAGAGTTGCCTATTATTACGTTGAAATGTTATGTAACGTGGACAGGAATACTACATCACATATTTTATTCCATTAAGTATGCACTTTACCAGCCCAATAACATGCAGTTATTGCTTGTCGGAATGCAAGTTATGTTCGCTTTCACTCCAAAGAAGTTCAGAAAACCCACCCACTACGAGTCTATCGGTGGACATAATATTTGACAGAGTTCAACTTGCGTAATGTCATGCCATCCCCCCACACAGGACCTCTTCGGAAACCATAGTTTTTCCCAAAATAAATCAAAATTACTTTCAAATGGAGAATAAAGAGTCAGTTGGAGCGGGTCCCTGGTAGCACAAACTCGGGAAATACACGGGAAAAACACCAGTCCGCGGACACGAAATCTCGTGGTTAACACGTGAAGATTTGGTGTAAAAGATGGTGAATATTGGGGGTTATTGTCGCCGTTTTGCGGTGTTAGACTCGTGTAAAATTCGTGTATAACACATGTCTAGGACAGAACTAATACGTGTAAAACTCGAGTTATTCTCGTTTATAATTAGGGTATAAACTCGTTTAATTTTCGTGTTTATACATGAAATAAACACGTATTTTACGCTAAATAAACACCGAGAATTGCCACAATTTTTCCCGTTCATGACATGCCTTTATTTCATTTTAATTATTTCAATTAATCATAACAAACAGAGAACAATGATTAATGGTTAAAAATTATATGTCATCCGACTCCTCATGATTAATAAAGTCTGATCCACCATCGGAAATTGTCCCAGCGCTATGATTTGACACATTAGATTAATATGAATATAAACTTTAAAATTTAACGGGATTTAGTTATTGTATTCACATACATATCAGCACAATGATTTTTCTTCAACCGTTTTGCTGCTGCTTTCAAATATTCCTTAATTACGGCTTCCATCTCGTCATCTGTCACTGCCTTTGATGGTGAACTTTGACGAACCGTATCTAAAATGTTCAAAGAAAAAATTAACGTGACCTTCCACTATTAAACGTGATGTTGTTTCAGATAGGTATTATACGCGTTAGGTTTAAAATAGTACGTGAACACATTTACCGAAAACTACTTGTTTCATCCATACATCACAGAACGCTGATTTTCCTCCTCTTGACCCGATCCAATTGTAACAGTTGGCCAACTGATCCCCACAAAGTTTTGATAATATGCGGCGTGTACACTTTGCAACATTACTACAACCACGCTGCCTTAAAAGTGTCACCTGAAGTAGATACGAAAATTTACTTTATCCGATTAGACGAATAATATATTTGAAATGTATTTACCAGGGACTCGCGGTTGGCCAAAATCTCATAATAGCCGGCCCCCTTGCTAACATCCTCCATATTCATCAGTGGAATTTGATGACGAATTTCATCTTGGGGCTTTTTCTGTCCATCCAAATGAAGTAATATTGCATCCAAGGTGTCCTGAATGTTACGACTCTGAACTTTTAAGCTTGCGATATTTCTGACCACCCAACTCTGAAATTGATTTCCTATGAAAACAAATAACTCGTTTACATTAGCTAATTTTTATAATAAGTTAACGTTCTTTATGTACCGGGAAGAAAATTTTCTACTTCCAAGGATGATTGCTGAGCGCCTATCGAATTTCCTTTGGGCAGCGCAGCGGAAAGTATTCCAACTTCGGGTGATTCGTTGTCGTTCCCAATAATGGAGAGTTGGGCGTCGCCGTTGCTTGTTGAAGACGTGCCTGCACCTTTATCGTTGGATATTTGATTCCCACCCATAACTTCCGGTTGTGTACCTTTCACAGTTATGGTACTGTCCTGATTAGCTGCAAACAATAAATTTACTATTGCATGCGTATGCAGAAAGTGCATAGATAAATAAAAATATGATCAATCTATGTACATATTTCAAATGAAGCTTACCTAAGCATAGCTTAAACGGCATATTATTATTGCTTAATGTCTTATTTCTGCTAGACTTCCCTCCTGGAATCGGCTCCCCTTCAGTTGATTCTTTCAGCCCAGCTTTTTGTAAATCTACAAGGGAAAAAATTAATTAAAATGATTAATTAAACATCAATTAAAATGTAGCTATTGGTCAACAATCATGATAGAAATTACAACAATTTTTGCCTATCATGGGCGGACGTGGTATCTTAGGACTGAGTGAGTCGTCCCCATCGCTTCCAGAACTGTCGCTCGCATTTCCCTTGTTTCGGCACAACCTGTTTTTATCATTTCCGCTCCCAACATTTGCGTCTGACTGGTCCATCACTTTTGGAAGTTTTTGGAGGGCTTCGCGATAAGTTGCTGTAATACATGGCAATTGAAAAGAATCGCATTTAAACGCAACACCAAATATTCACAAGTTTATTTAAAATTACCAAATTTATGCCCACTCCCAAGAAGTTTTACGTCATGAATTGACCAGGTTTGTTCTGAAGCTTCATGTTGACCAACAGCTTTAACAATTCGGCTTGGATTTTTGTAATTGGGCCATGCACATTTAGTATTATTTGCGCATAACCATGCAGTTGACACTACCTCAATTTCATTAGTGTCAATAAATTTCACAAGAACAAAATTATTAGTGGACATTATTACGGTGGCGCATAAAATTCTTCACTTTAAATTATTAGTGATGGTTATGCCGACAGATGAATGAGAGGAGCCGCTAAATATTTAGTGCCACACGGTAGTAAAATCACTTTCTTCACTATTTGAGACGTATTAAAGCACTTAATTGGCCCAGGTTTTGACAATAAATAAATATTTAACACTGAAGATGGGCACGGAGTCGAGTAAAAGTTAGTCCTATCTATAAACTGTCGTCCAACGAATAATTCCTTCCCGTCTTTCTTAAGAAATGTTTTAATAATCACAATATCGCCATTTAGTATTTCACACGCCCTATCTGCACTTAAAACACTTAATTTAAATAATGTGTTCTGAAACTTCTTATAAAATTCAGAACAATTAGCGAAGTAGGCTGGAGGGTTGGAATACGACCACGGCGAGTTTAGGCATGGCACGAATGGAGTGGAGGCGGCTGGAAGGATTTGGTTCTCCCTCTCGATCAGTCTTCTGTGCGCTTGCTGTAAGGGGCAATTTGTTGATCTCACCAAGTTTTTAATTTCTTGAAGTTTATTTTCAAATTTGAATGCACTAAATTTGTCGAGTTGGCCGTGATTAATGCAGTCGCTTGCTAAATGTAGGAGTCCGTGCACCTTAAACGACATATTTTCTTCACCATAAAGTGTTCCAAAATGCTTGACAAAATAATTAAGTAATTCATTTGCATAGTTGTTGTGTGTTATATGAAGAACTTTGTCAGCCAAAATCGATATTGCAACATGTAGTGACATAAAATGTTCATAAAAGTCGTTGGAAATTATGTTTTTCAAAACCAGTGGGCCCGTATACAGTATAAACTGACGAAATTCCGTGGCTTTCCAATATTCAAGGTCCTTCAATTTGCGAGGTTTACGGGCAAATTCGCATGGTATGCTCCTTTTAAGTTTTAGTAGCTCATTTGAAATCTCTTCGATTTGATGGGGCCGCAATCTGGCAGGACACTTTTTACCCTTTGTCAACAAGAATACGATTTTTCTTACAATTCCAAGACACACTAAATGCATATACTCCCCTGGTGAGTCTCTGACCAAATCCAAGTCGGGTTTTTCAATGAATGTAGCTTCATGGTGATGTTGTGGATCAAGTCTTGCACGAAATGATGCATCGGTCCTTTCAGGGTGGTTGCCATATGGAAATATTACTCGGTTTTTATAGTATACTCCTTTAATAGTACAATTTCCACAAGAACTATATCCTGCATGGCACTTTATTCCTAGCACAAATGCACGCGCAGGGGCATCGCAAATCAAGGCACTCAACTTAATTTTATATTCAACGCCATTAATTAATAGTTGTCTTGGGGCCTCGTCCAACTGCTGAAGAAATGGTGAGAAGAAGTCGTCTAAGGAATTCGGTTTTTGTTGACCTGAGTATATTCCAATTACGAAAACATCGTCATTAATTGCGCCTAAAATTGGCCAGAACTGTTGGGACGAGCCGTGGTATAATGGTATTCCGTCAATATTTATTTGAATTTCCACTCTTGTATTTCTTAAATCGCGTTGCATAATTATTTTGCGGATTGATGCTACCCAGTCAAACGCGCAGTATTGTCCGGGTGGTACATTAATAACTGCTGTCGCCCTCGGGGTATGCAATAAAGTCCTACTATCAAGGGGCAGGTACTTAAAACAATGATGGCCATGAAGAAGTTTTAACAGGTCACTCGTTGCGGAAGCGGTTATGTTATGACTTATTGTCCAACTTCTTAGCTTATCACTTAAATCGGTGACTGATTCACAATCAATTTCGGTGCTCGTACTATTAACACTTGACACTGATTTCACACTCGAAGCACTATCACTTTCAACCTCAAACCTGTCGACTTCAGCTTGGGACGAATATAAAGTTTCGTCGATTGTTGAAATTTCCAAGTTTTCCGTTAAATTTGGTGACACAGTATTTATAACTAAATTAAAGTCAGCTACAGCGCTGCGAACTTGCCTTTGCATCTGTCTATCTCGGGATTTTTTCATTTTCAGAAATATGTAATTAATTAAACTTAAAATAAATTGTTATCATAAATCCACAAAAATCATGCCGTGTCTGTACTGTGCTTTATTAAGTTTAGCGGTGGAGGCAACATTTGGAAAGAATAACTAAACACCATTTTAACACGTTTTTAACACGAGTATTTCCCTGACTTGGTTACCAAAAATACACGGATATGAAACACGAGTTTTGCCTTGGAAAATACACGTGTTTTGTAACACAGTGGATTTTGGTGTTCTGCAACAGAGAAAAACACGAGTATCCAAAATATTTTACACGAATTTGACACGAACCCCAGATTGCCACGACTTTACCCCAATCGAGCACGTGTATTTCTCGGTCTGTGCAGCTAGGGGTGTGACGTATACGAGAATTTATTTCTACGCGAGGGTTATTTATAAGGCACAATTGTATTAGATGAATGCTTCTCTGATAAAATAATACTCCTCTTCTTTTAGGAGAAAAGAGAGAAGAAAAAATCCAAATATTGTATCGAATCGTAGACACAGCAGCCTGTGCAACTTTAACCCACCCAGACCCAGCTTAAGTTACGACTTTGTACGTATTTATTTACGTTTGTCGAATTTATTTGGTCTGTTTGCCAAAATTCTGCTACTGGATAAAGCTCCGGCACGAATGTAGTGTGTACATATTCGTATCAATTGTGGAAATTGTGAACGAATTGATCTTTTACAGGATTCCCTTATTCCACTACTATTGGCAAATACAGGGATTTTTCGGTGTATTGTTAGTTGAAACATCCATATTTCTCCGGGAGGATATATAATCCGATGTGTTTGTCTTTGGAAACCTTTTGTTGGAACAAAACAACATATATATATCGCGATTTACAAAACATTCGTACAACAACAAGCTCTTTCTTTGTTATTGCCAGTTCGGTTGGCAATCGCAATTCTTACAGATGTCGAGTGGATGTGATAAGGTATGGAGGAAGCCAACAAGGATTGAGCGAATTTCGAGTGCTTGGTGGGAGTGGGTCGTCTGCCAGTTGCATTCGGTTCGATTTTTTTACTTTCACTTTCTCCAACTTTCACGGTTGGGGGTGTATGCAAGAAAAATGGAAAGATTTAATCCGTAATTTGATTTTAATCAGGACTTCAAAGTTTTTGGGTTGAGTTCAAAATTCTGAAATTTGTCATATTCAACGCAAATGTACATATGTAGATGTTTGACTTCGTAAAAGTTAAGGGGGAAAAATAATACAAGTAAAAAAAATAAGCTTGCTAATGCCAAAGTTTATGTCAATATATACACACCAAGTGTTTTACTATTCGGAGGGAGTTGTATTATTATTTGCAAAAATGTCATGTTCTCCGTTTCACTTGAGACTTTTCTCCCTCGTTTCCATTCCTTCCGAAGAACAGAACAGAGACATCACCCACATATACAAATAGTTTTATATATACGCCTTATAATGACACCGTCAGAGGGATGAGATCAGTTCGAGGTACGCCATTGTAAGTAAGCCGGCTAGATATATAGGCTGTGTCGCGGATGATCAATATTTGCCCAAGAACCAAACACTTACCAAACGGGTCACACCTTCTCAACTTTGTGCACAAGTTGAGACGAAAAGTTGTTTGCAAAAAGTTGTTAACTGCTGACGATTGGGAATGTCAATATTTGGAGATGGACTATCTCTCTCTCTCTCTCCTCTGTGTGTGACAGGGGACACATAAACAAGCGATATTAATACTTTTAATGAAATTTAAGTTTTTAATTATTAATAAAAATTCATGCAACTAAAAAATCGTGATATTTTTTACACGCAAAATATTTAACAGGCTGAACAACTGGCATCCTCCTCATTTCGCCTTGTCCTGCATGTGTTAAAACCAGAAGAAAATTGCTCATCGTCACTTATAAATCTTCACCTCGTTAGATGTAACCCAGCGTAATCTTCACAGGTGGGAAACTGAACCTGCTCCCAGGTATCTAATAAGTAATTCTGCTAGTTGCAGTGCATTGCATTACTCAACTACTTAACTACTACCTACCATTGCATTATCATTGCTTGCACTGGACCCAATTCAAATTCTAGTGAAATTTAGAGCGGATAGTCCATATGAAAATCAAGGTGGACCAGTTCTCTGTCCAGACCTTAGCGGATGACGATGGAGGAGCCTCCACACAATCCTGACCACTTTTAAAAATCGAATTCTCTTCTCTGCCTACACATGTGGCATGGCTGGAAATATGGTCAGCCGAATAGGTAATAGGTACATAGATTAACTTTGTTGCTTAATAGAGTAATAGGAAAATACGACCAAAATTTGAGACAGGTTCATGCTCGCATCATCATCATTATGATTATTATAATAGTACCAGAACCAACAACCTGCTTATAGATATGCACGGCCCACACATTCCAAACCTTTCAAATTTTTCTCCTCTCCATTGTTATTGCCAAGTAATATCAACCAACCAACATTCTTCACCCCTTTATGTGGAGAGATTAAACGAGTTTAAAATATTTAAGAAATTCTTTACGCCATTTAACCATGATCTAAATGGATGGAGAGATGAATGGATGAGTTAAAAGGAGTGGAATGAGTGCACGTTAGATTAATTGAGTTACTTTATGACGGAGCATTATTGTTGGGACAGGCGGTGGACAAGGGATTTAATTTAGATATGTACGGAGCACACTAGAAAATATAAGCGTGAGCATGGTGATAAAAAGCATAAAAATATACAAAGTCAGAGAGTCCAATGATGATGCCCATGCACTTCTTAAGGAACATTTATGTACGTACTTTACATTGTAAATAGGCAAGAGAGGCTTATTAAACTCTGGGTCTAATCCCTTTTATTAAACGTACTGAGCACTTTTCTCCGAGAGAGTTAATAATTTAGTGCGTTGCAATATGTTGTATGTACGACTATGCAGTTAAAATATGGCTTAACCATCACCAAGATTTTTAATTCCTTTCATTTCCCCACTTTCCTCCTTCCCGTTTTCCTGCTAATATTATTACTCCGTCGTTTAAGGTAAAACTGGCAAAGTTTTGACTTTCTTTCCTTTCTTTTTTAATAGTTGGTTGAGCCAGTCAGCGAGTGTGTCACTTTGAGTTTAAAAAAAGTCAAACAAAATTCCGGCACAATGAGATATCACGGTAAACCACTTGCCTGCCCAACTTTTCCCGAATTTTGCATAAGATATCTGTCATTCTCTTTGTATCTGCAAGTATAATGCTGCCTGCCTGGCCCGGTTCTTCTTTAAAGACTGTCCAACTATTTGCTATATGAATGGCTTCGTAAGTGATGGGTGAGAGAAGTTTTAGCACATTAAAAATCAATTTGAATTCCCAATCTTCCTCCAACATGCGGGTGTGTGTAGTCTATATTTTTTACGTGTTTCTGCTCTGATGGCGTATGTAAGTATATGCAAGAATGTATATGTATCATCTCATCACCACCAAAGTCTTCTTGACAGATTTGACGTGGAGTTGACTTTTCTTTGAAGATGCGAAAATTTGGAAATTCTTTGTCATCGTGGATTTCCTCTTTCTTCTCTGGAGGAGTGAGAAGAACTTTCAAATTCTGTGTCCTGTGTGGTTATGTTTGCTTACATCTCTCGTCGCCTTATTCTTATTGAAGTGCCCGTGTGTGTGCATCTCCTTTGGGAGACTAATGGAGCACAGAGAACGAGTGGTGACAAAGGAAGGAAAGCAGGAACTCTGAGGAAGGATTGCATAAACACAAAGAAAATGTTTTCCTGTAACTTATACACTTTTATTTCTCAGCTTCTTCTTGGTCTCTGGGTGGATGTTACATAATTTAGAGTTTAGAATAATACAGAAAAATGTATGGGATGTGAGTGAGTGAGAACGTAGGCATAGCTAAAAACCCACAGAACATTAGTAATAATACGGCGGAAAAAGAATGCTCTTTTTAGAATGTCGTGGCTTTTTTTCGCTCAAATGACACTCCAACGTCCTGGTGAAAGCGGAAGTTAGTTGGCATTCTGCTCGAGAAGACAGAGCTAACTCATTAGAAGAAAGGGTGCTAAAATCGCCTAACTGGTTCTCACCATTTCAGACAAAAAAGACAGAGAGACGAACCGATATCGACTGACAGAACACGACAAGAAGTAGTATAAGAGAATGGCAATTAACAATGAGCAAAATTCAACAGACGACGCTTGGAAATTGCGACGACTGACAATTCGTGTTTTGTTTTCGAGTACTGTAAAAGCTTCAAACGTCAATCCAACATCTATTTGTATGTTGTTTGTGGTGGTACAAATAGTGTTGATATCTAAACAAATCTTCTTTTTTTCTGACGTGAGATGCATGTGGCTTTCTTCCGCAAACTTGAAAATAAATGTAAGTAATTGCAGATTGCAGGAGTTTTGCACAATCATCGTTCATCACATGACAAAAGATCTCTCATACGTATACATAGATAAATGTGTCTACATGAGATATACAGTTGGTTGGTTGGTACTCGCAGCTGGATGTGCGGAATGTGAGCGAATTCAAAGATTTTTCACACTTACGAGAATTCCATTCCAGTTCAACACGAAGAAAGTGTGCAAATTCTCACAATATTGAGATGTCTTTTGGAATATAAACGTGACTTGAAGTGTTACGTGTACATATGAATATACGTGCATATTGCATTCCTTTAATGCATATGTGTACATACAAGAAATTGAGGGTTTCTACCCCAAAAAATACTTCGAAATGGATAAGTATAAGGACAGCAAGGATATGTATAAATCTGCTCAAAAACTATCCCAATTTTTGGTGAACGGCACAGATTTTTTTAGCCAAGTCAAAAGTGGGGATGAGCTCAGTAGAGTTTTGTGAAGGTGTTGAGAGTCTCTCAAAAAAGAGATTTAAACTACAAAACTTTTTAACAGTTTAGTGAGTTTATCTGTACAAAAAAACTTTTCCTACTTTTCACAACTTTTTGCTCCATCCAACTTAAAAATCTTCTTCTAACAAGTATTTCATTCAGCATAACGTTGCTTGGAGCCACTTAGGATTGGCTTTGAGTCGAGTGAGGCTGACTGGATGATAAATGTCAGCAGATGAATGAGGAGTTGATTTTTGGCTTTGCATGTGAGACCTGATATGTGAATAATCGGCTTATTGTTCTTTTCACGTGTAAAATCATCGATTTCTTTTTTACTCAGACGGATGGATGGATGGTTGCAAGGTAAAGGTAAACCAGATGCAAAGAAAACGAATAATATTTACTTATTATTTTGTGCATATCGTGCAGATAAAATGTTTAAATGTTGGATTGACTGATTTTTAAGTAATTATTCGGTAATTGGGTTTTAACAAGGTTTCATTTCAATTTATGACATTTAACTAAAAATTTAGCAATATGTAGAACCACTGCCAAATCAAATGAAGGGTGTAGCATTGTTATTGGTGATTATTACTTACTTGATAAAAACGATGAAAAGGGTCAGCCTGCAGGACGGGACGGGCGAGTGAATGTAGCAATTATTTCAACTTTTTGCTTCAAAGTGAATTTTCTCACTTACTTAAAAACTCTGTTATAGTCTTGTTTTAATTTTTTAAATCTTGGACGAACGACTTGACCAGATCAAGAATCTAGATATTCGTGCTGAGTAATAAGGGAGAGAAGAAATCTCAAATTCCAATCTGCTATGTCCGTCGGTAATCCTGTAATCTAATAAATGTTGGCTGAATGGCTTATGTATAAGCTTCTGTGTCGTGTCTTTTCCAGTTCTACAATATTATTCAGTGCTCTCATTTATGTATTAAATACGTACATAAATTTTACACTAAACACGAGTTGGTTCTCTCTCACTGTCTTATTGATGATAAAAACCACGTTTATTTGAATATTTAAATGGTTAACCCAACTACTAAACCACAAGGCTGACCATTAAGATGTAATTATTAGTTTCAAATTTGAGTAACTGCTTCCTGTTCGCATTTACACACACACACACAGAAATGTTTACTGTTCCTACATACACACTTTGGTTTCAATGCAATTTACTAAAATTTATTACTTCTCTTTCGCTCTATGATTTCCGATACTTGAATTGTTGCGGTATCCTCTCTTTCTTTCTTTTTATATAGTTTTTGCAACAAAACAACTCGTCCAACGCACAATTTTCTTATGTAACAATTGCACACACATTTGCTTTAATGTCGATACACAGATAAAAAGCGTCACTACAACAGTCAGTAAGGTAAATGATTCACCGGTTCTCCGTTCCGTGTACTGAATTTAGTACACACCACTTGAAAAATATGTTTCTTTGTTTTACACGCTAGTTTACACGAGAGTTTTTCTAAACTTTTAAATATTATTCTTTTTTCAGCTGATTCTCAATTAACTTTTCCCCTCCTCGTGCAAAAGCTCCCTGTTATTAAATATGTAGTGTATAACAAGCAGACACCTTGTATACGTACCGATTATTATGTCTCTTGAAGGAAGGAAGCTGAATTCTTGAGTTTCGTGTTTGAATTCAATTACAAAGTACTCCCACCTAACCTTCTGCTTTGTGTCTTCTTACGGATGGAGCCAGGGTTTGATTACGGTTTGATATAAAGAAGAGCAGCAGCATCAACTCTTTATTTACCAGACCACGGGATCAAAAAAGTAGATGCGTGTGTGCCTCCCAACTCTACACCTGAGACTGAATGGAGAGAAAGAGAGAAGAGAAGAGACAACGAGTAGTAGTTTAGTTGGTGTCTCAAAAGCTGGTTATTCAACCCCTTCTTCCAACTTCGCATACGCACAAACTCACTAAAGTACGAAACCGAGTTGGACTTGGTGGTGCTAAAAAGTTGGGTGAATCTCATCGATATCGAATCGCATTACACACAAAGCATTCGTCTTATGCACCTCTGGTTTGGTTTGTTGCGTGCATGCTAACTATGTGGGGAGAGAAGCTGTGGACGTTTAAAATGCTGAGAGACTGCATGAAATGAAATAAGCTCATCCTCCTCTTTTCTTTACATGGTTTTATTTTATTACGACTCGCTTTGTTAGTTAAGTTAGTTTGTATGTATGCATATAAGCGGAATGCAATTTGGGAGAGTGCACGACTTTTGAGGGTGCAGAACAACAAGGATGAGGTGTTTGGATGGAATATGTAATGTGCAATGGGTAAATATTAGCTTTTCCGCGGTGACGTAATTTGCAAGGAAAGATATTAATATTTAAAATATGCAATGTACTAGTGGTTTCATATCATTTGTGAACTTTCCTTAAAAACTGGACTTGAAAAGTCTTCTTCTTAGTCAGCATTAAAAAGTTGTATGCATATCTTGTCTATTCGTTTGTTGTATTAATTGAATGCCTGCCTGCCAGTTATCTAGCGAGGAGAGGATGCACTCACTTACTTTACTTACTGCTACTTTCATGTACATCCACGAATGCAATACAACTACTTGTCCGCATCCTTCCCAACAAAGTAACGATTCCAACTGGCCTTTGGCTACACCTCGGAGAACAATGCATTAAGAAGAAGAAGGGTTAAGCTGGGGTAACCAGAAGGAGGAAGAAGAAGAAGGAGCATACTGTCTCACTCTCTACGTTTTGAAACTTCTTCTTATTTTCTTTGCTTTACTTATACCAACCAAACCAAACCACCACTGCATTGCACTCCATTCTTCCCATTGTGTGCATTCTATTGTGGCCGAGGAAGCTCATGGCAGAGAGATGAGATAGATACAGATCTGCGGTGCAAGATTATATTGTGGCCAACAATGAATTCAAATTCATTGTATTCTTCACTATATATGATATGTCTCATATACTTTGGAGATATTTACATTACGGACAGATCCCACTTATCGGAAGGAAATTGTCTTCTTTCCTGCAAAGATTTGGTGTAAAGAGATCCAAATTAATTGCATCACTTTAGAACAAATACGAGGATTAAAGGAATCAAAACCTGAACAAAGTCTTGTCTCGTGGAAACTAATTTATCTAACCAACACCACTTGAAGAAAGTGTATGTACATAACCTCCGGATATCCATACTGCTCAGTAAAATACATACACAAGACTTCTTCTTCTTGACTCTCTGTAATTTGTGCAAGTAACGAACAACATTGGACAGAATGGATGAACGGAATCAGCATTTGAAGAAGAAGACGAGGAATCATGGGGCGAGAACTTGAAGATCAACGATGCACCGAACGCCCGTCAAGTCATAACTTCTTTGAGAGGAGAACTCACGTTTTTTTCTGGCCCACCGTTGGTCGTCGTAGAATTTCAATGCAATACGAATAATTTGAACGCAGTCGGGGGTTGTATATAAGTTGGTGGGTAGCTTGTTGCATAAAATGCTTGCCTATTACCAACAACACTTAAAAGACTGCATTTTTATCCCGGTCGGGACTCATCCACTCACTTATGAATGTATGTAGGACAGTCATTATTATTATGGAGGAGTCAGGCATAAAGTACATACGATTCCAGTTTTATATGGTAAGTTATCCAGTTGAGACGACGACTTGTTGGCTGGAGAAAGAAGGACGAAATCGAGTGGATGGATGGATGATGATTGTTGTCTGTCGGGGAATAATAACGTAATAAGGAGGGTGGGATGAGGTGTCTCCGCTCCAGACTTTTTATTACTTTTATTATTCTCTGCTCAAATTCAATTGTGCATCACTGCGTCCATCCCCATGCACCAAACCAACCCCAGGTTTAGATTGGATTGGACGGTATACATAACAAGGCAGGGTTTCTTAGTCAGCAAAAATTTTAGAATTTGGAATCTTCTTCCAAATTAATTCATGAAGCATGCATTTTTCATTTCTGAATTTGAAAAATTTGAATGTAAAGTGTAAAGCGTAATGGATTTATGGGTCTTAATTTATCGTGAATTTAGTCTTACATAGAAAAAAGTGGATGTAATATCGAGGGTTTTTAGTCAGTAGTGAAGTGAGTGGTGCGATATTATTATTATGATGCGCTGTAAAAGACGAGTTCATCTTGTTTGCGTGAGATTTACTTTACTTTCGGTGCATCTCCACGTACATAATCTTTAGTAAAATACCACTTAATTTGGCGTGGCTGCTCTGTATAATAGTTTTCAAACAAACTTTATGTTGCACTTGTACGCCAAAGTGATGTTCAAACTTTTCATACGCACCTCTCTCGCACAAAATTGTTTTTCTTCGGCGAAACAATTTTCTTTCTCGTATGCTGTATAACTAACTAACAAGGATGCACGCATTCAAACATGAGAGAAGGTAAATGGTGATTCCTGTTTTATCCAAAGTTTCACAAGAAAAGATTCATGTATCTACGCACACGGGTGAAAGCTGCGGGCCAACAAAGAATTACTCTCCGGACAAGGGCGGATTATCTTCCCGTGTTACATGGCTTTACACATTTACATTAGATTGCTTTACTTTATATGCTCATTCTCATATTTTGTGTGGTGAAATAGCTCAGGGTGGTTTGGTTTTAGCCAGCATCTTTTTGTTCTCGATGTGAATATGTAACTAGATATTTATGCTGTACAACCTTGTTTTTGTGTATTCCGTTTGTGATACTACTCGTACTCACGCAACCCTTTTGTGCAATATTGTTGGTTGCTGTTGACTTTTCATAAGTAAAGTCTGTGACGTGGGCGAAAGATTAGTTTAATTTTCGGTGGGATTACATTACAACACAGACAAAAGATTATCAAGTCGGGGGGAAGATTACATACAAATTTATATAAGTTGAACATGACCTTTGACTACAGATATGTATCTTTTTTATACAACAATCAATACGCTTATTGAAAGTTACATGGTTTTTAATCCTCGAAACTTTTGTCATTATATTTGCATAACCTGGACGATTACGGCTGCACATATGTTGATTTTGGGCAGAATCTCGCGGACATAAAGGTGTGCCCTAACTAAACTTTTGCGTAGATAATAAATGGGCAACATAAAAGCAAACTGGCAATAATGGGTTGACTCTTTTGGGGCAATTTCTCGTTCGGTTGGAAGAATACGTACGTAATAATAAACGGGAAGGAGGCGAGATGGGAGCAAGTTTGCAAAATGTTCGTCTTCAAGAAAGTAAGAAATCCTTGTCTGTTTCGCTTTTTACTGGCTGAAGAAATATTCCAAAACGAGACGATCGCTTTGGGCTGTATCTCATTTCTTTTGATTTATAATTTTGCATTAGTCTACAACTTTATGGGCATGAAATGAGATGTTAAATAAGGTTTGGGGTAGGGTTGGCATATTAAATAATATTATGCGAATGGATGGATCTTCATGCCTGAGAGTTGCAAAAATTAAAAAATAAATAAAAATACACAATACTGCAGTTGCAATACCGGTTGTTATTACGTAGATTGTGCAATTTAGATCTTATTCTTATTATGGAAGGTGGTATCATAAAATTGAGTCATTTTAGCATCCGAGATTGATCAGAGTTTAGTCAAGTGGTTTTAAAAAAATATTTTCTAGATCAAAAATCGAGATTTTTTAAGTTCCCGTATTTTTCTTAGATTCTGATATCTCCTACAAATCTCTATGCACAGTTCTTTTTTTCTGTGTATCATACATCAAAAATAGCTCGGAGGAGTCAGTTTTTATCACGAAGAAAATCCATCCGCTTGGAGAAACTTGAGGAAATTAGATCTTCTTTGTGCTCACATAATATCAAAGCAATTCGTTTTAGTAACAATAAACTACATGCAATTTCCTGCTTAGCAGCAGCACAGCCTGCGAGGCTAAACTTTTCTTCGGGTAGTTTCATTCATACGCAATTTGGATCAGCCACGTCAATTCCAGGCACACGTCTGCTGCTAAATAGCTATTAAAAAGGGCTTAATAAATCCCTCGAAAAGAAAGAAAGTCGAGGTGGTGGTGGTGGAGAAAGTTAAATATAGCTAAATCTAAGAAGATCAAAATGCGCTCTGTTCTCGTTTTCCAATTCATTTTGAAATAATTTGTAATTATTTTGGAAATTTTGAGTGTGTTTCATATTCGTTCATGTCATTAGCTCCCCCCTTTCTGAAAAGGGGGAGCTGAAGAGATTGTTGTCTGCATATTTATTATCTGATGAAAATCGACGCATCATAATATCTCTTTCTCATCACAATTTCATCACCCCATCAACATCCGCCATCCCCCCTTCTCAATCTGATCATCCGTACTCTCACTTCGCCATTGCTTTCTATTCCATGAGAACTGCATATCGTTCTTGCCTCCGTGGCGCGTCATCCGTGCGCGTGTATCCCATTAGTACAAAGAGTGAAACTGATGCATAAAACAAGGAATGGATTATTATATGTATGCGTACTCAGCTTGGTTGGTGGCGTGGTGCTCGTTATTTTTGGAGATAAATTAGTTCATTAAAACGAGATGAACCAAAGTTAAAGAACGAAAAACCCAGATTTGAGCATGTAAAATGGTGGTACGATCCCAATTACGAGATCAGTTTTCAAATCGTATGCAATGATTTATTATTCATAAATGACGACCGAAATCAAAGAAATCTGTACTTTCACTAATCGACTCATGATAAAAACAGTCCCGACCGAGTTCAAAATAGTGAAAAATGTATGTACAAAAGTTTTTTAAATTTCCACTTAAAGCGCATCGAAAATAAACCCTTTTTAACTGCCAGTAGTGCATAATGTACAAAACACTGCATGCATGT